GGGGAGCATGCCCCCGGACCCCCCCTAGAGGAGGTTAGGTCCCCCCCACTTAAATCATGTTCACATGGATACTAAATACATTTGCACACATCTTGTGTCCATATCTTTCTGTTTTGGTGGTCATGCCACACCGTGCACATGCATGCATATCTGGATTAAGAGGTTGCTTTTTCTTTGCACAGCATGAAAGAAAGGCCAAATTAATTGGCTGTGATTTTAGTTTTTTTAAGCAGATGTTGAGTTCAATAATTTGTACGGCCCCATTGGAGGATGTTGTAAAAATTGAAAGGAAAAAGGTTCCCCACCCCTGCTGTAAATATAATAAAAACCCTTGATTATAACTTAAACATCTCTGTCTTCTGCCTGTGTTGATCTGAGTATATTATAAAGACATAGCCAGTTAATTGAAGCCATTATAGCACAGGCCTTTGTCAGATGGTATATTACGCTGTTTTTTTCCTGCTTCGAATAGTTCTCTCTTTTTTCACCATACCTGTGTTTGCATCACTGATTTAAAGAAAATACAAATAATGTACTGCTTCCTACTTACCAGTCCAGCTTCCACTTACTGCAGAAGTAAAAACTCACTTATTTTGTAGAGGTTTTTGTTAAGCTCTTGCCTATATAATGTTAAGTTGAATTTCATATTTTAAATCACAATTTCTTTGCATTCAGGATATCTTTGAGTGTCGCACCTGTGGTTTGCTGGAGTCTCTCTGCTGCTGCACAGAGTGTGCAAGGGTGTGCCACAAAGGGCACGACTGCAAGTAAGTCCTTGATTTAAGAGTCACCTTATTTAATCTTTGTTGTTAAGTCTTTCTTACCATTGTTTATCATCTCCTGCATTCCACTCTAGGTTTTATGTATGTTTATACATTTGCCTCTGTTTTTTCCCAGGCTGAAGAGGACCTCTCCCACAGCTTACTGTGACTGTTGGGAGAAATGTAAATGTAAAACGCTGATCGCCGGCCAGAAGGCTGCTCGCCTGGATCTGCTGTACAGGTTGCTCACAACAACTAACCTGGTCACCACACCAAACAGCAGGTAGGACCCTCGTGTTCTCTAGACTGACCTTTACTTCTGTTCACCTAGAGCAGTGCTTTATAATAGCAAGTAACTGTGTGGCTAAATCTGCTTAACTGTATTGTTTTCACATGCATTATACTTCATAGTGTGCAATATATGAGGTCGCAGTGATATTAATAACTGCTTTTATTTCCACCTGCAGGGGAGAGCATATATTACTGTTCCTGGTGCAGACTGTTGCCAGGCAGAGTGTCGAACACTGTCAGTACAGACCACCACGCATCAGAGAGGATCGGAACCGCAAGGCTGCTAATGCAGAAGGTGTGTTCAGGATCCTTTTCACATGATGCCCAACTTTAACCATCAGTGCAAATCAATGCTTTCCATCATTAAACAAACATTCATATGAGATTATATTTCTGTTAATTTATTTAAGTAATGTGTATGGTTGAGGTTAAAGCTTCTTAAAAAGATTATTCCTTCAAAGCATGGTGAATAAAAACATTCTTCTCTTAGACACCGATATGCCAGACCATGACCTGGAACCTCCACGCTTTGCTCAGCTGGCTCTGGAGAGGGTCCTGCAGGATTGGAATGCCCTCAAGTCTATGATCATGTTCGGCTCTCAGGAGAATAAAGACCCGTGAGTATCACATCAAACTCGGCCATAAAAATGGGTTGGTAATAAGAGCGTTGGTTAGTGGTGCTCGAGAACTGAAAAAGGCCCACACCAATTGATATATCTTTCTCTATGTCCTAGACTTAGTGCCAGCAGCAGAATTGCTCACCTCCTGCCTGAGGAGCAGGTCTACTTGAATCAGCAGAGTGGCACCATTCGCCTGGACTGTTTCACCCACTGCCTCATCGTCAAGTGTGCTCCTGACATCACTGTAAGTCCCCTTAGGCTGTCTGCATCATGAACAAGACGATTGTTTTCACTTCTAACCTGAGTGTTCACACTGTATTTAACAAAAGTAATTATTGGCAAAAAAAACACAAAATGATACCAATGTTATCAAGTCAACATGCTCTTGTAAGTATTTTGCTCAAAGGGGGGTTTTGTTCTTCTGTATTAGTTCATAGACACCTTACTGGGCACTCTGGTGAAGGAGCTGCAGAACAAGTACACTCCAGGCCGGAGAGAGGAGGCCATCAATGTCACCAGGAGGTTCCTCCGCTCTGTGGCCCGGGTGTTTGTCATCCTCAGTGTGGAGATGGCCTCATCCAAGAAGAAAAAGTAAGAACACAGAAGATTAAGGTTTTAAATAAAGTTAGAAAGGCACGAGGAAATGAACTCAATTCTACCGCACATTAGGACTGCACAATTACATCAATTCAATGCTGTTTTTTTCCTTCCTCCTTTCTTCCTCCACATAGCAATTTCATTCCCCAGCCCATTGGGAAATGTAGACGAGTTTTCCAAGCTCTGCTGCCCTACGCAGTGGAGGAGCTGTGCAATGTAGCAGAGTCGCTGATTGTTCCCGTGCGAATGGGTATAGCCAGACCTACGGCTCCGTTCACTTTGGCCAGCACCAGCATCGATGCTGTTCAGGGCAGCGAGGAGCTCTTCTCTGTGGAGCCGCTGCCTCCCAGACCCTCACCTGACCAGTCCAGCAGGTCAGTTAGTGTCCTGTCACATAGACTCCCATGATAGCATGATATGCTGTTTATTTTACTAGGGCTGCATGATTTAAGAAAAAACACATTGCGATATAATTCACAATTTTGGAGGGATTTATCATTTTAGAATCCCATTTCTCTGGGTTTTTTAAGAGGATCTGTACCAAAGAATATGTTTTGTTAAGTCTGAAGAATATATTTTTGTAGACCGGAATAATTCTGCAGCTCCACAATACTTTTTTATACTTTTACACATATTTAGCCTTTAACAGATAGGGTGCTTCCAGTGATTTGAATATTGAACATAATCCATATCAGTGTTTCCCCTAGGATGGAGTCATAGCAGCGGTGCTAAGGCACGCGGGCCCAGCAAAATGTGAGCGCGGCGCGC